TATACTTGATACTATCAAAAATTTAAACATTTATTATAGTGTTTACGAAGATAGTTGAAACCGTATAAAAACTAAAAGTCGGCATCTCTTTATTGTGCCCGGAAAGAGATGCCGACTTTTAGTTTTTATACGGTTTCAACTATCTTCGTAAACACTAGATATACCAAACAACTTTTTTGACAAAAACTTCAAATTCCCCAGATTCTTTATTACTGGGCATGTCGAATGCAAAATGATGCTCATTTTATACCCTTAATGTTCTATATATTTTAATTTCATTTAACAGACATATTTGTGAAATATTTGTGATTATTATCATTATGTTGGAAGTATGGAAACATTGTGGTAAAGACAGTTTTAATGATTTTAAATAACAATGCAACTGTATTCCAGACAATTAAAATGTACAGAAAAATTTCATTATTTTTCTTAAAAATATATAGATAAAATATGTTATGAATTATAATTAATGTAGTATTAAACACCCTGAACCTATTGAGAAACATAAAATAGGAGAAAAATAGAAATAAAAAAACAAAATAGTTTATCAGATCCTCTGGTAAATATTTTCATAATTTATTAATTGTAGTTCATTACTCATTCCATATTTATTTCAAAATTTTACCAATACAAAGAGCACGTGTTCGTGTTTACCGGCCGGCAGACCAGTTTTTTTTTGTTGCAAATTAGTCCAAGCATTCTGTCACGGATTAATGTTAAATTAGCAGAAATTATTACCTGGACAAAAAAATATGACCGTATAGAAAATTAAATTTTAAATCCAGTTTCTTGTTCTTTAAACTCGATCCAAAATGGCGAACATGGTTAAAAAAAATCGCAAAGTTGCAAAAAACGGTTTTTCTAAAATAAGTAAAAAAATATAGCACCGATCGAAAAATTTTAGATGAGAGGATCAAAATATGACTGAAAAAGTTGCACTTTTTTGGGTGTTTTTTTCAAATAACTATTTCAATTTTTATTTTATGAAAATGACTTTTAAAGAAGGAAACTGCTGACATTTTTTCGCCAATTTAAAAAAAAAATGTTTTTCTACGACCTTCTGGAGCCGAGATAATTTTTTTATTTAAAAAAAATTTTGAAGACGCAATTAACATTTTTTACAGCGATGCGCTTGATGGAGGTTAATATTGAATATTTATATTTTCAAAAAAAAAAATAGTAGGATATGTTTACTTACAAAAAAACAGTCGATAGATCTTTTTAAAACCTACAACTTTGTTTTAAAATTTTTCGATCGGTGCTATATTTTTTTAGTTATTTTAGAAAAACCATTTTTTTGCAACTTTGCGATTTTTTTAACCATGTTCGCCATTTTGGATCGAGTTTAAAGAACAAGAAACTCGATTTAAAATTTAATTTTCTATACGGTCATATTTTTTTGTCCAGGTAATAATTTCTGTAAGCATTTCTCTATAATGCTTGGACTAAATACTTATAGCCTAAGAGCTGGCGTGATTTTTTCCCATCATTTGTACCAAAAGATAAGCACATTAATGTTGAAATAGGTTTAAAGTGAACAAATATCGCTACGTTTGGCCGGAGGCGGCTACTCAAACTTGTTTTTTTTTTCAAAAACTCCTTGATTTGTACCACCTGCAGACTATGAAATTCGGCTTTAGGAATACAATTTGACCACAAAAGTGAAATGACAGACAAAAAAGTCGGTTTTTCGTCGGCGTTTCTTAATTACAGCCAATAAAAGGGTTCCGTCTCCGTCGTAAACATCGTAGCAGTCTGTGAGTGCAAGCGAGATGGGTTCAGGCTTGCAAACGCGCAAGGGACGGAGAATGATATATTATTCCTACATTGCACGCATGTTTAGTGGCTCTGTAAATAGATTTGTAAGAAAATAAATATAAGCAAACATATATTTTATTGAAACTTAACATTCAGTAATAAGAAAACTAAACATTATACACTTTGAAATAAAAAATATGAAAATTTTACTTATACTATTACGAGAGCCATACTTCCAGCGTAAGCGTGTGTATTTTTTTCTAAACATTGTTTATTTTAGCAAACCTGCATGTCGGCCTAATAAAGCTTTTTATTTTCGTGGTATTCAAAAAAACGTGGCGGAAGATTAACGAGCATGCGTTGTATTGCTTAACATTTTAATTTACATTTTTGATAAAATATTAAATCAAATGTAGAGCTTCCTTATATACAGAGTGTCTCATAATTAGTGTCCAATAATTTATCACTTGATTATATAGCCAAAAATAAGAATATGTTTTCAAATAAACATGGGTCGAGAGATGCTTCCTAAGGGATCTACGCTCCCTAAATGGGGGCCTCAAAAAATTCATTTTTTTTAATATTTTCGAAACGGGTTCAAGGAAAATTATAAATTTTGACATAATTGACGCTCATTAAAAGATCGTCATAAAATTTTAATCGTCGGCTAAAATTTGCCTCTATTTTTTTACTTGTCGAAATTTTCAAGTTCATGTTTTCATGCCAACATATGATAGATATTCATTTCCTTTACAAAAGAGGTACTCTTTAGTTCTTTGGATAAAATGCTCCATTTCCGAGAAAAACGAATTTAAGCAATTCATTACGTTACCTTAATAAAATTCAAAAAATTTGTCTTGAATGGCTAAAATGGGCACATGTACCATTATGAATTTTCATATGTCATCATATGAATATACATTGTAATAAACAACGTGAAAAGTGCTTAGAAAACTTTGTTATGGGCCGTCCCGAGCAAGGGGAGGGGGAGAATCGAATTTTTGCATGTTGCATTTGTTGCTATAAAATTTGATTGATCTGAGTTTTCTATGAAAAATGGTGATGTTGTTTTGATCAGAATTTGAAAATTTCGGCAAACAAAAGCAATAGGGGCAAACTTTAGCCGACGACCCCCCCCCAATTGAGATGATTAAAATTTTTGAAAAATTTTATGATAATCTATTTCGACTTTTAAGAGCGTTCATGGTATCAACATTCATAATTTTCCTTCAACCCGTTTCGAAAATATTAAAAAAAAAATTTTTTTTGAGGCCCTATTTAGGGGGTGTAGCTCCCTTAGGAAACATCTCTCGACCCATGTTTATTTGAAAAAATATTCTTATTTTTCGCAATATAATCAAGTGGTAAATTATTGGACACTAATTTTGAGACACCCTGTATATAAGAAAACTCTACATTTGATTTAATATTTTATCAAAAATGTTAATTATAATGTTAAGCAAATTAGTATACAACGCACGCTTGTTAATCTGCCGCCAAAAAAGTACGAAATACTGATGCTATACAATCGTTATTAATTAGGCATATAATTAAGCAGTTATAGTAAAACCAAAAATAACTGTAAAAAAAATTTAACTGGTATAATCAAATTTACAAAATATTGTTAATTAGTAAGTCATCATTTCATTTGTTCACAGCGTATTTGCCTCCAGTTCCTCCTTGACCTACATTAATAATAAGTAGGTACCTATTCTGTCATAAAAACATGCCCTTTATTTAAACACATCTAAAAACACTTTATCAGAGGCATGCCGGCGAATTGTACTATACACCTGCACTTTCCGTATTCCACCGTACCACATATTGTTAGTAATATGTGACCGTACCTATTTCATCGTGACGATGCGAGAACGAATCATTTGCTTTAAAATGTGTTGTAAATTGTAAAGTATCTACATAAATCAATCACTTTTTAAACAGAGGCTAATTATAAACAATTCGTTTAAAAACTAATAAAACACGAACAGAAAAATTAAATTGTAAAAAATATTTTTAGGGGAACTCATTTGGCTTGCTTCTCAAGAAAAATGTAATAATAACTTGAAGTCACTCTTCAACAAACAACAGTAATTATTACATACAAAATTCTGTATTCAGAATTATGGTTTCTAAAATTATACTGGATCTAATAACTAGTAAAACATACAATAATCAATTTGTGAAAAATATCTTAAAGAAATCTTAGGGAGACACTGACTCCCCCGCTTCTAAAAAAAACTGCCACTGTGTAGTAAATTTTAATTATCTTATCACGCTCCATTTTAGTTTAGACAGTCTGACTGATACCGAATGGCATTTGCCTAATTCTTTCTTCTCTAGTAATTATATTATCGATTATATTATCTGGACTATTATCAAAATATGTGTATTAAGTACTATAATTTATTTGTGTTTATAGCTCTTTTACTATTAGACTAATTATTAATTGTCAGAATTAAAATTTTTTAACTTACTAGTATTTAACAGTATTTGTAAGAACTCGGAATAACAGTTTTATTATTATGATTATTTTACATGCAAAGCTTAATATTCCCATTCAAACAAGCACTGCCATCACATTCTTTTATATTATCTAAAATCAGCGCAAATACAACTCAAACATATTGAAGTTAGTCCGGCTCTGGTTCAGCAAAAAATACCTTAGAACGACAACTGTGACTATCGCCCTCTTTTCGATAGTGTCTAAACTATAGAAAAGTTGAAATACGAAGGATTTCTTCAATTGCTCGGCATGAAAAGATGACGGATAATATAAAATATCAGAACACGTACCTTTCCTGTTTTGTCCAATTGATTTATAAAACTACTCAATAATTCTTATTAATTCATGTATAAATAGTATCCTAAAAGCATTCTGCTGGGTGTGGGTATGTTTATAATACCGTACGCTTTTATCTGTATGTTCAACAGTCGTGTAAAGTTCAGGAAACGTTAGATAAAAAAATATGTTTTTTTTTTCTTACTTAAAATTTGTTGTCAGTTATCTCACACCCTGAAGAACACTTGTATGAGTAGTACAGTGAAGAGATATCGTTTCTAACTTGCTTAGATTTTTTAAACAATTGGACAAAAAATTCATTGAAAATTGCGCATAAAAACGCCCCCCTTCAGTGTAACCTCCTTAGATGCCAGTAAAAATGTACCGGTGAAACTTCTTCCTATCAATTATGTACTATTTCTGTTTCGTTCCAGACTGCAGCCATATGGAGGTCCAATGAACCATGCTATCGTCCCTCCACGTCCCAGAGTCAGACAGCAAGGCCATCAGATGCATCCAGAACTTCTCCCTCGACACCTCGTGCACCCAACTCACAACTTTGTCATTCTCCTGCGCCGACTTGAGTCAGAAGGTCTTCGACTACTTCTGCGAGTTCAACTCCACCACGGAAAACGACTACTACTGCACCAGGTGTGACGCCACCAACTCCACCGGCGAGCTGGTGGTGAGCTTCCTCGGCGGCAACGTGAGTGACTTCATCATCAGGGCGTCGAACTACCAGTGCAACTTGTTAAACAAAAGTGACAACGTGTTTTGGACGTGTAACGAAACGTCGAACGAGGCGTGGATCAGGGCTCACTACGACTGGAGCTTCCTGTTTGTTGTTGTGTTCATCATAGCGGGCGGGCTGGGGAACATCCTCGTGTGCTTGGCTGTGTTGTTGGACAGGCGGTTGCAGAACGTGACGAACTACTTCCTGCTGTCGCTGGCCATCGCGGATCTGTTGGTCAGTTTGTTCGTGATGCCCTTGGGGGCCATTCCTGGGTTTCTGGGTGAGTACCGCTATCTTCGATACAATTTAAGGGCCCCATATTCTTTAAATAGTGTTTTCCGCAAAGACAAATAATTTCAAACATTTAATAACTGAATAATCTAAAGCTTATCAAATAATAGGAATGTTATGTCATGCCATCTGGTTATTTTCAAAGACGCCGCAGTAAAACGAATAAACAGGTGCAAAAAACGATCAAACCATCAAGGTTTTAGGTACTGAAATCTACGAAAATACTAACTTTTTTATATATAATTCCACATGTAAATATTCTTATAACATTTACTTGCTTAGTCCTACATATAAAATTGTTTACTTTTATTTATAAGTACGTGAAAATAATTCTTAAAATGTGGGGTTAGAATAACAGCAAACGCATGTTTTACAAACGCTTTTTTTT